CCCCAAAACCCCAAAACCCCAAAACCCCAAAACCCCAAAGTAGTGTTTTGTTCTAGAAATATTATAAAAAGATGTCTACAGCACAAAAGATTGCAGAGATCGAGGCTGAAATGGCCAGGACTCAGAAGAACAAGTCCACAATGGGTCACCTTTGCTTGTTGAAAGCTAAGCTTGCTAAGTATAAGAAGGAAGTACTGGATGCTGCTACTAAGGGTAAGGAGAGATGGTTTAAATTTGAATTTAGCTTCTGGAGGTGGCGGTGGAGAAGGATTTGATGTGGGAAAGACAGGAGATGCCAGAGTTGGTCTCATTGGGTTCCCATCTGTTGGAAAATCAACACTTATGTCTATTGTAAGTCTGATTTTGACAGTTTTGTTAATGAGTTTAGCTGACAGGAACTTACTCAGAAGTATCTGAACACGAATTCACAACTTTGACTTGTATTCCAGGAGTGTACAAGTACAAGGGAACTAAGGTACAGCTTCTCGATCTTCCAGGAATTATTGAGGGAGCCAAAGATGGTAAAGGAAGAGGTAAACAAGTCATTGGTGTTGCTAGAACTTGTTCCTTAATTATGATTGTTCTGGATGCTTCCAAGCCACTTACTCACAAATTCAAGATTGAATACGAATTGGAGGGATTCGGAATCAGGCTGAACAAGAAAGCTCCAGATATCAAGGTCCACAAGAAGGATAAAGGTGGTGTAATTATTACCAAGATGGTCCCATTGACTAAGTTAGATGATGATACTATTAAAAGTGTTTTGAAGGAATACAGAATTATGTCATGCGATATTGTTTTAAGATGTGACCCAAGTGTAGATGAACTCATTGATGTAATCCAAGGAAACAGAATCTACATGCCTTGTATCTACATTCTTAACAAGATCGATAAGCTTTATATTGAAGAGCTTAATATCTTAGAGAAGGTTCCTCACTACGTCTGCGTTAATGCTAAGTCTAAGTGGAACCTTGATGAGCTTGTTGAGAGAATCTGGAGAAAGCTTGATGTTATCAGAGTATACACTAAGCCCAGAAAACAGCTACCAGATTTCACTGCTCCTGTCATCCTAAAAAGAACCCACTGCTCAGTTGAAGATTTCTGCAGAAACATCCATAAGAGCATGGTTGAGCAGTTCAAATCTGCCTATGTATGGGGCAAATCTGTTAAGCACAACCCTCAAAGAGTCGGAAAGGATCATTTGTTGATGGATGAAGACGTAATTCAGGTGAACAAGAAATAATCTAAGATTTCATCCAATTGTATTCGGTGTTTAAGGGGTTTTGGGGTTTTGGGGTTTTGGGGTTTTGGGGTTTTGGGG